GGGAAATCAGTACTTTAAAAACAGATGTAGAAAATAAAGCAAAGTGTTCAAAGATCCTCGGCTTAGCCGAGAAAAATTATCAGCCATTCCAGAATTCAGAAGACCTCATCTTCAGATTTCTGGGGGGCAGAGGGAAATAGAGAAATGGCACAACTGATCTAATACCCTTCAGCTCAGCCGAAGTTTGATACTTATGTCAGTTTTTTCACAAGTTGAAAACATCCGAGTACAAACGGCAAAAAGAAGTCTCAGCAGAAATGATTCTCGCTAGCCGAAGTTCTGCACTTAGCAAATATTTGAAAGATCATTCAAAGAAAGCAGTAAAGTGCGAAGACTGGTAAAGCGAAGAAAAAAAATATACACAAGAAAGCTGAGAAAGTGAACTTCTTTGAAATAAAAATGTTGAATTACAAAAATAGTCGGCAGCCGCCCACAAGCGGAAAGTAACAGCTGCCGAAATACGTACAGGCAAAATAAAAATATAATAAGCTGTTGTACGATAAGGCAAGCTGAAGCAAAAAAAAACAAAAGGCAAAAATTCAGAAAGCGGCAAGTCTAAAGTTGAGCGCATGATGAACCGCAAGATTCTGAAGACGACTGCCCGAGTTCCTATGCTTCAGCCTGAGGATCAGACTGATCAGCTTCATTGGGCCCAATGGTGGTCTCAGCTCCAGCAGCAGAAGAAGCAGGCTTTGCACTCTGCCGAGCCTCCCTTTCCCTCTGCTCAGCCTCCAACTCCATCCTCTCAGCTTCTTCCTCGGCTTCCTCAGCCTTAAGGATTTCAGCTTCGATTGGAGTGGCATACTTCATGTGAGGGTCTTCGGGATCTTGGACCCATTCAGCACATTTGGACCAGTCCAGCTTCGGCTCAGCATGAAGGCAGACCCTTCGGCACACTCTGAACCCGTTTCTAAAACCCATTTCATACTCTTCTTGGGTATAGATACGGACTTTGAGTAGAGCCTCAGCATCGGCCAACTTCTTCTTCGTCTCCTCCAAGTCTTCCTCGGATCTCTTCAGCTCATCGACGAGCTTGGAGGAGGAGCCTTTCAGCTCGGTAAACTCTTGCTGAACCCGGGAAGCCTCGGCTTGAACTTGGACCATTTCTTCCTTCTTGGCAGTGAGCTGATCCTCAGCCTCTTGTAGCTTAGCTCTTTGAGCTTCAGCAGCAGCAGCAGCCTCTGAGAGTTGGACGTCTTTGGCCAAGAGCAACTCTTCAGCAGCCATTCGGCTGGCTTCAAGAGCCTCTAGACGCTGCTGCACTTCAGCTTGTGCAGCAGTTCCTTCTTGAATTCGGCTCTCAATAGCAGCCTTGAATTTGGAGACGTCCACTCCCATATGCTCCTGGAGGAATTTTTCCCCTTCCATCAGTGGGGGAAAAACCTCCATCTCCATAGCATCGCAGAAGGTTTTCAGAGCTTCGGCAGCTTTTTTACCGTACTCCTCAACCTCCTGCTGCTTCTCTTCAGCTGCTGCTTGCTTCAGCTTAGCAAGCTTAACTTCCTCTTCAGCCACCTTCCTTTCGTGCACAGCAGCGTCCACCCTATCTTGTAGGGAATCTATCAGCTCTACAGTGAGAGTCTGATTGTGCACGAACTGAAAACAGGGGCACAAGTTAAAAAAGTAAAAAATAATAGCTGAAAGGTTGAGTTCAGAAAGAAATCAAGGCAAGGAAAATTACCTGCATCATCAGCAGTTGGTTAGACCTGGCTGGGTCAGGAACTGATCTACTGGATTCGCCCATCCCAGCAGTGGCCTTCAGCGACCAGATCCTTGCCCTGTCTACTTCGGACATGCCAGCAAAATTGCCGAAATAGGCTGCAGCTCCTTCTCGGTTTTGACCCCATATGAGGTCCCAGATGTGATCTGGGATTGGAATTCGGGGGGCCGAGAAACCCATTTCACCAGAATGCAGAGTCTGGAAAGAAGGGAAGGACGACGATGGAGCTTGATTAGCTTTGGTTGTCTCAGCATCGTCCTTCTCAGAGGAGTCAAGTACTATGACCTCCTCTTCTTCAGGGGTGAGGACGAAAGCCTCAACCTCTCTTGCGATATCTGCCGTGAAGCCTTCAGCACTTGACATCACGGCATCTTTATTTTCGTGCTCAGCAGCACTCTCCTTGATTTCTTCTTGGACCCCTCCCTTAGGTCCGGGAGTTCTCTGATCCACCTCCATCTCAGGAGGTGGTGGAGGGGTCTTTTGAGGAGATTGGGGTGTTGGCTGGGGAACCCTCGGCGATCCATTGCCTTCCTCAGGTTCCCTTATTGCGACGCCGATGGTCATCGGCCTCTGCTGAAAATCATGAGGGCCGATGATGGCCATCCTTCGGCGCCTTTTCAGAAGGGGCTGCTCGTCCATATCTGAATCTGAAGACTCTTGTATTTGATCTTCGGGACGAACAGGAGCTTTGCCTTCTCTGTGTCTGTTACTCTCTTCAGACTGTAACAGACAGGGGGGAAGAAGAGTGTGAGTAAAAAAAAAAAAAAAAAAAAAAAGAAAAGAAAAGAAAAAAGTTGTCTAAAAACTCACCGAGGTCTTCAGCAAAGCCTCGTCTTCTTCAGCTGCTCTAGCTGCAGCTTCGGCTTCAGCAGCTCTGGAGGACCCTTCTCCTCCTTCACAAGCCTCAAGTACCCGTGCAACCTCTTCGGCTGTGCGGGCAGCTTCAGCTTCTTCTTCCAGCAGCTGAAACAAGGGATCCCTCTTCTTCCACCAAGGCTTCTGCCTCTGATACAGAGCAACAGCCTCAATTTGGAAGTGGGAAGAGTCTAGGTGAACCTCTCGGCGCCTTGGTTCAGTGATAGGGGGAGCCCGATCAGTTACGACTCGTTCTCGGCTGACGCCAAGGCGAGCGTAATCAATGCCGACGTTGGTCTCGTCCCGTTCTGAAAAAGAAAAGGGGAGAAGTCAATTCAGTTAGTTCGGCACATCACAAGAAAGCAAAATGAAAGAAGAAAAGAGATAATTAAAAGGCCTCGGCCCCAGCCGAAGAAGATTACCATCCCTAAACTTTCGGCTGAGGCCGACAGCTGCCAGCATATTCTCTTGGAAAACATAGTGCGTATCGGGGAGCCAAGTCTCCGGGATATGCTGCATTCGGCCGCTGCCTCCCCGGTTCGGCAGCTTGCCGAAGATGTTCTGCTGATTAAGGTTCGGGTCTGGCCCGCTATCTTCGGGAGGACCTAAACTTCCCATATCAGGATCCGGCTCGGCAAGATACCGGGGAGCGCTGAAAACATAAGGATGGCTCGGCTCCGTGGGCGCCCTAACCCAAATCCATTGACCTCTCCAGTCCTTGTCTGAAGAGTCGTTCGGCCACATGGTTAGGAACGGGGGCCGAGACTCAATCCGATACCACCCAGAACCATGGCTTCCGTGCCCACTCTGAATATTTGGCACTAGCCGATGGAGCTTTCTGAAGCAGTGCAGGTTCGGCACGTATCTGAAGAATTTGCAGACCCATAAGTACGTCATTACCCTTCGGATGCTGGTGGGGGTCAGCTGGCACAGGGAAATGTTGTAATGGATCAGCAAGTCTCGGACGAATACGTCCAAAGGGAACCTCAGCCCATACTGAAGCTGTCTCGTGTACACCCCCACATACCCCGGGGGTGGACGATGGATTCTATCGGATGCTGAGGGCATTCGGCACCAATATCCATCAGCTTCAAAAATGCCGTAGTGCAACTCAATTTGCTCAGCAAATCGATATTGATCGGCGTTCTCTACCCACCATGAGTAGGGACGGTTCTTTATCATGGCCGAAGCTACTTCGGCATCCTCCCACTCTGAAAACCCTGGGAGGATATCCCAAAGGACAGCGGGAACTTCATCATCCCGTCCTGAAGCTCTCACCCCCTCAGCCCTCTGAGGAGGAGCCGAAGAAATGGGAGTCGCCCTAACCCCTTCAGCAGGGTCAGACTCTGTCCTTCGTCCATTCCAGGTCCCAATCCTGTCCCTGGGATCGGGGATTAGCCTTGCTCTTCTTGGAGCACGGGCTCCACCTCTAACTCCCCTCACCATCGACGAATTTCGAAGGAAAAAGTCGAAAAAGGGGAAAGAGTGCAAAGTCGAGGAAAAATGAAATAAAATCAAAGGAATTTACCTTGATCTGAAGCAAAAGCCGCCGATTTACGAATTGGTAGTGACAGGTCTCAGCTTCTAAGCTTAATGCTCGGGGAATTTGCGAAGTTTTGATGCGGGCTCTTGAGCGTTCTTGAGAATTCTGGGTTTGTGTTGATGAGTGAGTGGGGAGAGAAGACGCGCCTCTATTTATATCTCCAGAAATGGGAATTCAAGGAGTCTGCGTTTCAATTTCTCTCAAGCACCCCACTAAGTAGCCGTTAAACACACGACCTTGCAGTTAAATCGCCCACTACCCGTCCAACTTCCGCAATTATCCACATTAACTGTTGTTATCTCATTAATCATGGGTTAATTACGGTTTAAATTCACATTTTTGGATCAACAAATCATTCACTTCCCTCCTTTTCTGATTAAATCAAACCCGACCCGTCATCCTTCCAAATCGGGTCTGGGGGGCAAGTTGTTTGGGTCCAATTTAGTCCAATTGGGCCTGGTCACTGAATGATCCAATTAAAAGCCCAAGGCTAAGGTTCAACTCTCCAAATATGCTAAAGTCAAAAATCAACATCCTCAAAGCCATGTCAAGGCCAGTCAACGGCCCAATCAGCTTGGCCCAGCCCAACTGACTTCCGGGCCCAATCCGCCTCCTTCATTAGCCAAGGTATAAAAGCCAACAATTTGGTCAATTCTTGGTAAGACAATAAAGCCTCAAGCAACTAAACTCTTGCACAGCTTTCTCTCTCTAATATACTGACTTAAGCATCGGAGGGGCCTTCCTCGGCGTCCCCCCCGAGGCTAGTTTACGTGTATTTGTTGTGCAGGAAACCCTCGGCTCCTGCGTCGTTCGGACCGAGACCAAGTTCCCTCAAGATAAAAGGATCTTCCGAGATTCGATTGTTTTCATCCGAAACAGCATGTAAACCCAATACTTAGGCATACTCTCCTTACCAATGAAGTACCCTGAGAAGAGAAAAAACCCGGCCAGGATCACGGTCACCAACGAGGTCCCGGCTATGTACGTTGGTGCAACCGAGCTAAGGAAGAGTACGAACGAGTTAGCCATAAGTACAATAACCCAAATCACAAGTACAAAGTACCCGAACGACAACCACGTAGCACATAGGCCTACTAGGAAGTACACCGAAAACGAGTAGATTATAGAAATGACTAGCAAATAAGGAAGAAAAACAAGGGTATTAGCTATAAGATAAGATGAAACTCTATAAACCCCACTAGAAGTTTCCCTTAATAGGATTGGCCTTTCATTAATAAAAATTGGTAGGGTTTCTGTTGTTGAAGATAGTAAAAATGTGAGTGTAAATGCAAAAAGACCTAATCTTTTTTGAATCCCTTCTTTGTTATACCCAACATTAATGTAAATAGTCCCTAAAACAAGACCAACAACAAGTGCTTCTAATGTATTTGTCAAAAGAAATTGTTTTGTCCTATATATAATCTTCCAAAATCTTCTAGAAAGTGTGATAATCTCATGAACCCTTGAACTCTTATACTTAATCTTCTCTCTAATCTCGATCGTATCGCGACGATCATTTGTGTTATGAGTAGGAGATGGAGGAACGGGTAGTTGGTTTAATATTTCCATGGCATATTCTAGGGCATTGAGTTGAGGAGGAACATTAAAACCATGAAAATTAAGGTGGTTTTGTAAGGAAGATAAACTTCCATGATGAAGAACTCTTCCTTTAGATAATAAGAGAATTTGATCAATAGTAGAGAGGATCTTAAAGCTTGGTTGATGGATCGATACAACCACGGTTCGATGTCTCGATATCGAGATTGATTTAAGGGTTTGCATTACATTGAAGGCTGATCCACTATCGAGGCCTGAAGTAGGTTCGTCGAGGAGGAGGATACCGGGATCATGTAGTAAACTAAGTCCTATCGAAACCCTTCGTTGTTCGCCTCCGGAAAGACCTTTTGTACACCAAGTGTTTGATAAATGTCGTAGACGAAGCTCTCCTAGGAGAGTTGAAACTACGTCAGAGATTTCTTTTGAGGTGGAGGTAGGGTGGAGGAGACGGGCGGTGAAGGCGAAGGTTTCAGAGACGGTTAAAAGGGAGAGACAAGCGTCATGTTGAGGTACGTAGGCGGAGAGCTTACGGTAGGAGGAAGGGATGATAGGGTGGGAGTTGAGGAAGAGGGTGCCGGAGGTGGGGGAAGTTCGAGCGGCTAGGATGTCGAGGAGGGTGGATTTGCCTGCACCACTTGGGCCGACTATTGCGAGTATTTGGGAAGGAAAGGCAGTTAATGAGATGTCTTGGAGAATGTAGGTAGGTAGAGTGGAGGTGCAATCTTTGAAGAGGAAGGTTGGTGTGTAGGAAGAAGTAGTGGAGTTGTTTGTGGTGGTTTTAGTGTAGGAGATGGATGTGGCTGTTAATTTGTAGGTTTTTCGTGGCGGCGGCGGCGGTGAGGGTGGTGGTGATGGGGGAGAGGATGGAGTGAGGCTATTATGAGGTTCCATAACGGAATTGGAATGAGTTGTGTAAATGGTTGTGAAAATGAGGGAATCTTAAGCTTAGCTTAGCATATCAATTGGCTTGCATTTGAGATTTTTAAGGGGCCAAGTGGAGTTTGGATTTTGGAGAGTTTCCTGTGGATTTGTAGTACTTTGGAATGTAGTAATAATGCCATTTGTAGATACTACAAATTGAGAAATATGTGTGCGGGTGTAGCAAATGGTTTGATAACCCCTCCTAAGCACTTTAATTTATTCACAGTCACAAGAAATGTCATTATTAATTTATTATATGCACTACGAATGCTATTTACTAAAGCTAACTTTTTACGTACAAAGCTTTCTCCTAAGCTAAATAATAAAACCTAATCACAACATGTACAAGTAAATTACAAGGAATATTGCCTTAAATAACCTTTAAAAATAATTGAAATAACTCTTTTAAACCTTCTGCTAACTTAAGATCAATAGTTTAAAAGTGATACTCCAAGTTTCTACCGTAAGATCTTGAAAATACACCGTTTTCTTTAAAGTCCCAGCACGTATAAGTAATAACTAGTAGGGGTTTGAAATTCAGCTTGTTAAAGAAATTGCAAAATATGAAATTTGGCAAATTATAATACGTAATCCCTCCGTTTTTAATTAGTTGCTTCATTTTTTCATGTGCGGAGTTTTAAGAGAAATTGGAGAAGTAATAATATATGGAGGTTGTGGGGTTGGTGGAAGAATAAAAAATTGTAAAAAGCAAACGTAATTGAGAGAATTGGAGGAGAGAGAATATGAAATTAATAAGAAACAAAAGTAGTTTTGAATTACTTGCTTCATTTTTCCATACGCGGAGTATGATTTATGTTGGGTCCACTAGTTGAGAGAAATGAATTAAACATTGTAAAAGTTTTTCAAATAAGGAAATAGAGCAAATAATTAAAAAACGGAGGGAATAGTATCAATTTTATTTTTTTTTTTTCAAAAAAAAATATTTTCACCATCATCTTATAATTAGTCATTGCATGTATCCCTTACATGTTAAATGTTGTATCATTTACACTTTTAATTTAAGTTAATGACTATATACACTAAAAAAATTACTCCATATCATTGTTGAAACTAGTTAGTGCCCGAGATGTGCTGGGATTTTAGTATTAATAATTAGTTATATACTTATATTAGATATTGACTTTTGGATATTAGATATTGCACTTTGAATATTTAATATTATACTAAACAAGTAACCACATATAAAAGTTTTTGTCAAATAAAAATATAGTAGTCAATTAATATGGTAAAAACCCTAAAAATCATTATTTTTCATATCCAAAATCCCTACAATAATCCTATTATAAATTTGAAAATAGAATTTATATAGCAAACTAAATGAATTGTATAATGAATTGTATTAAAAGCACTTAATTACTTGTTCATTTCTTAGCGATATTATTTTATAACATCAAATAAATATATATTTCGTAAAATAAATAAACGTTTTAATAGTCATTAAATTTAATAGAGTAACTTTTTTTTAGAGAAAACGAAGAGCTATCATTAAATTAAATTAAAGTAAGTCCATTTTCACCAATGTGGATAATACTTTGGGGAAAGGACTTCAATCGTACATATTCAACGTTAGCACCCGTATCCGCCTAGCAATGTGATGTACAATCGTATTACAAGCTCTTCTAACATGCGAGACATGAAAAACATCAAAATAAGAATTATAATATATAATGTCATCATAAATGACACCAATCAGAGCATATCATAGTCATCGAATCAGCAACATCCATCACATTAGAAGCGTCATACTCAATCCAGACTTTGATATTACCCATTCATTTGTTCAACATAATGCCACGCTCAATAACATCGAAAAGCAAATACATATAGAATCTACAAAACCAATTGATGCAACTGGTGCAACAAGGAAATGAAATTCTGGTGCAACACTATATGAATTCGGCGGAACAACAACCTAATTTTAATGTTCTGTGAAATCTATCGAACAATTTAACCAGAATTAGGGCTCAAATTTCTGCAATTAAAGTCCAAATCAATAATCAGGATCGGAATCGGAGTGAAATTAGAGCCCTTCATTATGCTCAAATCCTTCCTTCACTAGCCATTAACGTCAATTCAATAGAGGCAACACTCTAACAAACTCTCTAACTAACAAACTATTACATATTAGCAACCTTTTAACAGAATATTACAATAGTATTAACTTAATATAAAATCTATAAAACTTTAGAAGACTCTAGAAAACTCAGTTTAATTCCAATAGTAATTAATAATATTTGAAAATATAAAAATTAATAATAGAATTTGACAATCAATATTTAAACATCATATATACATTATTTAATTTGTAGTTTAATTTGTTTCAAGTAATTTTTTATTCCATAAAATATTTAACTAAACCAATTGTCTAATTTAATATTTTTGTATTTTTTCCATAAAATATTTCACTAAATTAATTCTTTGATTTTTTTATTTTGTAATTAGCTTCATGTAGTTTTTTAATTATAAAAGGTTTAATGTGATTTGTTAATTATAAAAGGTTTCATGTAATTTCTCTTGTAAATATTTAATCAAGTAATATGACCTTTGTTATAAGATTTAGTCTGCCGCTACTTAAGCCGAGATTTTTGTTTTAACAAAAAACACAATTTTTAATCCTTTATAACCGATAAACCATGAATGAATTTGACTTTGATTTGCGCGCTTCTTTAATCAGCCAGCTTAATCGCAATAATTGTTTGTAGATGGAGATGATTCTTGATTTTCTTGGTAACCATCACAAAATTCAAAACATTAATACTAAGATATTTTAGAAATCTTAGTATGTCAAGATATTTCATGTTTGATACCTTTGTACAATCTACAGATAATACTCTTAAGTTTCTGTAGTGCTTATGAAAGTCTAAGCTATATACATACATACTTATAATCTATGTACGTACGCAACTTCTTCAACGATGATTGAATAGATTCAGTTCCCAAGATTGCAGACTAATGTCGGACTTCATTCATACCAATAGCCGAACTTACTAGATATTCTTCAGTCAAATCATCCAAAGAATTAGCCCTCAAAATCTCCTTCGATGAAATAACACGAGCAAGCTAAGGTTAAGCACAATGCCATGCATTTTAAGCAAGCACACATCTGATTGGCTGTTTATGTGTGCCATTTGGAAAAGACAAGCGTCCATCATCAGATCTGTACATAAGATTCTCCTACAGCTTCCATGCGATCATAAGGATGTAAAAGCTCTCTCCCATCCACATACAGATCAATTGAGTTTTGTCAATGATTCGTCCTTCTTTTGCCATAGGTCACTTGTTTCAATTTCCTTCTAAGAAATTTGCTATTGTGATTATGGCCAAAGGAATCCCTTTGACATTTCGTTGCTTGCAATTTATTGATGTTCTTCAACCTTAAAATTTTCAAAACCCACATTTTCCATGAAAAAAATGAAACACTATCCTCCCTATCTAAACCTGTTTATGTATACGAAGTATATAACAGGTCTATGAAAGGTTTTGTCATTATTAGATAAATATTTATGCCATTAAACCATTTAATGGTAATATTATTTACCTATAAAGTGGTACTTTATACAAATGTTCAAATTTACAGCTTTGTCATTCTATTTATTTGTTGCAAAATATGTAGGGCCTATGCATCAATAGTTATTCCAAATACTCCCCTATATGATATGGGATGGACCTAGACAAACAAGCTCTTAATTAGTTACTACCGGTATTCCATCTTGTCACTAGGTGCATGAACAACTATGTTGTACACTTTTACCTCTCATCTGTCTTGTAGCTTTCTACATGCACGGAAGAAAACAATCTTCTCACTGTTTTTTAAGTATGTGTATTATTTTGACTAACAAATAAAAGATATAGCAATGGTCAAATTTGTCCTTTAAATTTAAGGGTTGAGATTTGGTATTGTTATGGTAGCTACAATTTTATTGTGGCCATTGAAAAGTCATCCTTGAATTTATAGTGTATTAGGAGTTATTAGGAGATAAAAAAAGGATTTATGTTATGAAATAAAGGAAAGGGAGAATATTAGAGAGGATGTAGAAAGTAATTGTGTTGTCTTCTTCTCATTTCAATAGACCATGATATATATACATGATAAGCATAAGGTAACCTTCATGGACAATTAAGGTTCCATTTAAGTGGGGGTTACAAAGGAGGTAATGGCAAATGGGGGGTTACAAGGAGGTTACAATGGGTGGTATTATTCTAAGGGTGTTACAAGCCATAATGACCATCCACAATAAACATATTTTATAACACTCCCCCTTGGATGGGCATTATTTAAAATAGATTTAATGTGCATATATGCTGCCTCATTAAAAACCTTTCCAGGAAAAACCCTGTGGGAAAAAACCATTGATAAGGGAAAAAGAGTGCAGCGTGCAATTACTCCCCCTCATTATTATATCACTGAAGATCTTTGAGACGACGCAATCCAATACGATAAACTAACTTTTTAAATGTTGCGGTTGGAAGAGCCTTAGTGAATAAGTCTGCCAAATTCTCACTTGAACGAATCTGCAAAACATTTATATCTCCATTCTTCTGAAGATCATGAGTGAAGAAAAATTTGGGTGAGATGTGCTTTGTCCTGTCGCCTTTAATGTATCCTTCCTTAAGTTGCGCAATACAAGCTGCATTATCCTCATATAAAGTTGTCGGTGCCTCTTTCCCGGATGATAAACCGCAAACGTCTTTTATATGTTGGATTACCGACCTTAACCATATACATTCACGACTAGCTTCGTGAATTGCTAATATCTCAGAATGATTGGAAGAAGTAGCTGCAATGGTTTGTTTCATGGAACGCCAAGAAATAGCAGTACCACCGTATGTGAACACATATCCAGTTTGTGATTGGGCATTATGTGGATCAGACAAATAACCTGCATCTGCAAAACCAACCAAATTTTCTTTGGACAATTTAGGGAAAAATAAACCCATATCCTTCATACCTTGAAGGTAACGAAGTATATGTTTAATCCCATTCCAATGCCTTCGGGTTGGACATGAACTAAATCTTGCCAATAAATTAACTGAAAATGATATGTCGGGTCGTGTATGACTTGCAAGGTACATTAATGCTCCAATTGCACTAAGGTATGGTACTTCAGGACCAAGAAATTCCTCATTATTATCCCGAGGTCGAAAAAG